GAAAAGGTTAACAAAGAGTGTCATATGCTTTATTTCATTGCAGGTCTATTTATAGAGATTTTCAACTATATATTGTCTCTCTTTGATTCTTGGGATTTTATAATAATCCATTAGCTTAAGCCCAAAGAATAAAGCATATTCCTTTATGTTGTACTATGGTAGTACACTACATATGAGAGACAACATGACAATGTGGCAGAATTGCAGGAGCAGCAGTAGTGCAGGAGCCGCAGGCCAAAAACAGCTTTTCTCGCCAAAGAGATAAAGACATTATTTTCTCGCCCGCTCTTTTTCATTTGATACTGTTATATTTTTTTCTTTTGAAAGGGAAAATCATCATATCATCGAAGGATAATGAATCTCCTCCATCATCTGTATTCAGGACTTATTGATGGAGATTTAATTATTTCATCATGTTGCATCAGAAGTCGTTACGAGAATGATGTTGTCTACGATGGATCTATAGGTGTTATACCAGCTACGAAAATGATGATAACTAAGGGTGACTGCATTTGAGGTTACATTTACCTTCTCACGTCCTAGTCATCCTAATGCCACTTAATCCTTGCCTCGCGGTATAGTATCAATTGTTATTTGGAAGAAATACTATGATGATGGATCATCAGCGAACTTTGTTGTGCTGTGGATCTCACCGGTGGTGATCAATTTAGGTGAAATAAAATTCGAATATCTAACAGGTCTCTTCATTGCGTTGTATGAGTTGATTGTTTCATTCTCTCTTTTTTGCTAGAGATCTGACTTGGATCGAGGATGATATATTCATAGAATCTTGCGGGAATTAGAAGTCAATTCGTACAGACTCTACTATTGTTTTGTTATGAAATCAAAATTAGTGTATATAGATGGTGAAGAATCTTGAACCGATGGTGCAGATCTCTGATGCAGTAGTGCGAATGGACCTACAAGATTATCACTCCAACGATCGAGTCAGTTCATAATTCAAGATGAGTGTAGTAGAAGTGAATATCATAAAGTGTTCCTTGACCATCTCTTGTGATGGCTTATATACATAGAATGGAGAATGAATTATTAGGATCCCTAAGGGTATATGTATGGATGGACGGTTAAAGATCCATTTTGATTTATTTTCATTCTCTTGATGTGATGGTTCTTTCCAACGATCATTTGTGTATGACAATTCTTGTGATATTGTAATCATATATTAGATTGTTGATTTATCATTCTTCATCACAGTTGGAATTTTATGTTGGAATCAGACTATTGATTCGTCATTATTAACCACGATTGAGATTTCGTTTTAGGGTTGGTCTATTGATTTAGGTAAATGATTAGGTGTCGCATTGTCAATGTGGGTAGGTGTTTCTTGCCGCTGTTTTCTTCTTAGGAGTCATTGAAAAATATGTTTGAGTTTATTCTTAGAAAAAAACTTTATAGGTGCCTATTTGGTGTGTACCCCTAATCTGAATTGGTTGGTCGGGATAGATCAAGACGGATGGCTCTTAAAGATGGTGAGCTTAATAGTAACTCTTTGAGTTGATAATAAAGATGGTGAGCTTACTAGTAACTCTTTAGAGTAACTCTTTGAATTGATAATTGAATTGATTATATATGCAAACACTTTGATATTCAAATCATCAAGTGCAAACAAAATAAAAAACATTGAGATGAGACAATTTGACCGATCCGTTGTTTCCTCCATTTTCTTTTATCAACTATGACAAGAAAAAAAAGAGATCCATAAAATGGTAAAAGACAAATTGGACTTAAACCTAATCCAAATAATAATAATATACATAGTGTAGATTAAAGTTGTGAGATCAGGCTACATGGCCCTAATAGACCATTTATTTATTATTTTAATATAAAATAAAACAAAAAATCTCATAAAATTTATTATATAAAATATATTCTTTTATATATAATATATTTTTGAATATAACACAAATAATATATTTTTGAATATAACACAAATATTACACAATTAATAAAATACAATTTTTTAAAAGCGGAACATTAAATAATTAAATATTAATTTTATTATAAAAATATAAAAATTGATATATATATATATATATATATATATATATATATATATATATATATATATATATATATATATATATATATATATATATATATATATATATAAGAGATATATAATATACTTTCATAGGTATATTATTTTAAATATAATAAATTATTTTCTAAAAAAAATATAATATATTTTTAAATACAGTACAAATTTAAATTTATGTAAAATAATACACAAATATCTAAAATAACACAAATTAATAGAATATATTAAACTTTTAAAGTAAAATATTAAATAATTAATTTACTTATATAAATATATAATATTAAAAAATAGAAAACTTCATTACAGTATAAGAGATAAAATATTATAAAGTATGACCAAAAAAATTGAAACAACGTAATTATTAATTAATTTTTTAATTTTTAATTATATGATGGAAAGAAATAAATAGTAAAACAGAAATTGTAGTATGGAAAAAAAATAAAATTACGCCGTGTCAATCACAGTCACAATCACAATCAGCGACGGTGACAAGATTTTCTAAGGTTGGTGGGAGGAATAAGCCGCAGTGTTATAAATGTTAGCCTACACACAGACACGTCACGACAACAGTAATAACTCACACTCACACTCTATCACTCTATTTATACTCATTTCATTCCTACTACAATTGTTGCGAATTGCGATAGCGATCCAACACGCGTTTTCATCCACCTTCTCTTATCACACAGGTTAGTAATCAACCATCTCTATTTTCATTTTACTTTCTCAAATTCTTTCATTACAAGAATTTACTCGTTCTCTCAACTCGGTTGGAATTTAATAATAATTTATTCGATTTAAAAATCGAACCAAGTTATTATAAATTTTTAAAGTTGTAATTAAATTGTTTAAATTTTTATGAAAATTTTAATCATGAAATGAATTGAGTGATTTAAATTTGTCTAGACAAAATTTATTGTAATTGATTTGGTTTAAAGATCTATTCAAGTTCATTATGAATTTTTTAGCGTGTAATATGATTGTTTAAATTTCTTGAATATTTGGATAGAGTTGTTTAAGTTCAATTCATTTGCTTGAATTATATAATTTAAAAATTAATTATATTTTTGCTCAAAAGTAATATTTTTATTGAAAAAATCTTTTAACTTTTTTTAATCACGGAAAATCAATTATTTTTTGTCAGAAAGTATTTTTTTTAAATCTTTTAACTTTTTAAAATAAGGTATAAATTGAACTAAGGTAAATATTAATTTTAAAAGATAAACATGAATACAAAATACTGTATAATCAACGGCTAGAATAAATATATTAAGAGGCCATAAAATTATAGAATATACACAAACTATTTCAACTTTTTGTAATCATTTGGTTTAGTGGTTAATTTTGTTTTAACTTTACTGCCTAGGTTTATAATCAATTCAAGTTGGTTTAGTCATTAATTTTTTTTTTTTAACTTTATCTTCTAAATAATATATATCAAAAAACCTGCCGTTGTTTAAATCGTCTCACAAAACAAATGAGTCTTCTATATTTCATTTACCTAGCAAACTAAATTCAGTATTCACCTATTCATTTGTCATATTCACTCTAATTTTTCTTACTTTAACCATTAAAGTTATCTTTTAATTCTTAATTAAAAAAAGGAAAACGAGTCAAAAATTGATTTTATGTATCAAAATAAAAATATTAACTGAATAAAAATATTTTTATAAAAAGGAAAACTAAATTGATTTTTTTAAACACCTCAAACAATAGACATATCAAAAATCAAAATATTAACTGAATAAAAATATTTTTATAAATAGTATTATTTTAATTTTTAATTTTTAATTAAAATAGTATTTACAAATTAAAACTTTTTATAAATGTAATTGACTAGTTTTATTGTTTTTTAAGAAAATTATGTATTTATTTTGACAATTTTGTATTTTAAGAATAAAAAAAGTGTATTTTAATAAATCAAATTTAAAAATTTTATTTTATTTTAAAGTAATTTTGATTGGATAATAATAATAATAATAATAATAATAATAATAATAATAATAATAATAATAATAATAATAATAATAATAATAATAATAAAGTTATCGACATTAATTATAAAATATTAATATATGATATATAAACAATGTTCTCGACAAAATAAATAAAAGGAATATATTCTGGACAGAAACATAAAGATGTTTTTTACCAAGAAATATAAACCGTAGTTACTTATTATATTAATAAAAATCAATTTTGCCAAAATAATAACTAAATATATCGTTTACCTAAAAGGATAATATTTGTTTTTTTCGATACAAGTAAACAAATGCTTTGGAAAGACACCAAAATAAAATAAATAAAAAATAATTAAAATTTTTAAATAACTAATGTATTTGGTTGATATATAGTCCACATGCATCAATTCACAAAATATATTTCAAAACAATGTACTATTTTTAAATAATTTTATTAATTACTATATATATATATATATATACTATTGTTTTTTTTTTGGTAAGTTGATATGGTATTAATTCACAATTAAAATAATTAAAGTCTATTAAACAATAATTTAAAAAAAAATCATAAAACAATACAACAGTCTGGTTTCATGGCATTAGCATTCATCATTTCACCCATATGGTTATTCAGTTTAAAACAATGAATTTAAAAATTCTGAAAATAGTAAAATATTAAACTCAAAATATTAATTTCTCATTGCTGGTGTTGTAAATAAATCTTATAATGCTATGACATTTAATTTAATTTCGTTTTTTGTTTTGTTTCAAGCTTACATATACATCGGTAAGCCACCTATGTAATGTAGTAACAACTAACTACTTAGTTTGTGATTCCTTTATGTACCAAAGCCTTTGCCATTTTCAAACTATGAATTGTTCTTCAGTTGATCATCATCATCAATAACAACATTGTTAATTTTTGCAGGACCGTCACAATTTTAGTTGATTCTGTCGAATTTTTTTAATCCGACTAAATGGCAACGTCGAATGTGACATGTCCTGCACCTATGAAGGCCGTGTCTAATGGCGCGTTCCAACATGAAAATCCACTTGATTTCGCAGTTCCTCTTATCATTCTTCAGATATGCGTGGTTGTTACATTCACTAGGTTTATTGCATTCCTTTGCAAACCCCTCAAACAACCTCGAGTCATTGCAGAAATCATAGTAAGTTTTGCATTCGGATTATTGAAATATGTTGAATGTAAGAGATTTTACTAACTGTTTGTGGAAATGTTTAAATACAGGGAGGAATATTACTCGGGCCGTCTGCGATCGGACGAAGCCAGAAATTCTTAGACACAGTTTTTCCGAAGAGAAGTTTAACAGTCCTAGACACACTAGCAAACATTGGTCTTTTGTTCTTCTTATTCCTAGTTGGTCTTGAGCTCGACATGCGTTCGATCAAGAAAACAGGTCACAAAGCCTTAGGAATTGCGCTATGTGGAATCACGGTTCCGTTTGTGCTTGGCATTGGAACATCCTTTGTTCTTAGAGCTACAATCTCCAAAGGTGCAGAGGCTGTCCCTTTTCTTGTCTTCATGGGTGTTGCTCTCTCGATTACTGCATTTCCTGTCTTGGCTCGAATCCTAGCCGAGCTCAAACTCCTGACAACTGACGTCGGTCGTATAGCAATGTCAGCTGCTGCTGTCAATGATGTTGCAGCATGGATACTTCTTGCTCTTGCCATAGCTTTATCAGGTGACGATACGTCACCGTTGATTTCTCTTTGGGTTATGCTCACTGGTGCTGCCTTTATTCTTTTTGCTGTTTTTGCTATACGACCGTTGCTTGCGTACATGGCGAAGCGCTCTCCCGACGGTGAACCTGTGAAGGAGCTTTACATTTGCATCACCTTGACATTGGTTTTGGCTTGTAGTTTTGTTACTGATACTATTGGAATTCATGCACTATTTGGTGCTTTTGTTGTTGGTATTATTATGCCGAAAGACGGTCCTTTTGCCGGTGTTTTGATTGAGAAAATTGAAGACCTTGTGTCTGGAATTTTCTTGCCACTTTATTTTGCTTCTAGTGGTTTGAAAACAAATGTGGCAACTATTAAGGGAGGGGTTTCTTGGGCACTACTAGCACTTGTTATATTCAATGCTTGCTTTGGAAAAATCGTTGGTACAGTTGTAGTATCATTAATATTCAAGGTGCCTTTTAGAGAATCACTTGCACTTGGTTTTCTCATGAACACCAAAGGATTGGTAGAGCTCATTGTTCTCAACATCGGAAAAGATCGCAAGGTACTTATCTATCTATCTTTTAGAATTAGATTATCTCATAAGTTATTTTTATAATAAGGTTCTTCTGAAATAATCTAATATCTACGAATACGTCAATTCAAAGAAACCTTTAACATTAACAAGTAGATGCCTGCAAATATAGTTATTATCGAATATTTTGAAGTCTTTTAGTGATTTTGTTTGATTATTATACATTTGAATTTCAATCTTATGCAGGTACTAAATGACCAAGCATTTGCAATTTGTGTTCTTATGGCATTATTCACAACCTTCATCACCACCCCAATAGTGATGGCAGTGTATAAACCAGCTAGAAGAGGTGCACCTTACAAGCACAAAACAATTCAACGCAAAGATCGCGAATCCGAGCTCAGAGTGTTGGCGTGTTTCCACAGCACACGCAACATCCCTACATTAATCAACCTTGTAGAATCCTCCAGAGGAACCCGAAAGCGCGGAAGACTTTGTATCTACGCAATGCACTTGATGGAACTCTCAGAGAGATCTTCAGCTATTTCCATGGTTCACAAGGCGCGTAACGATGGCATGCCATTTTGGAATAGAAAAGAGAGTGATAAAGATCAAATGGTTATCGCTTTCCAAACATACGGAAAATTGAGCAGTGTCAACGTCCGTCCCATGACAGCAATCTCAGCTCTCACCAACATTCATGAAGATATTTGTACCAGCGCTCATCAAAAGCGTGTCGCAATAATAATCCTTCCGTTCCATAAACACCAACGTCTCGACGGAACAATGGAATCATTAGGACATTCATTTCATGTAATCAATCAGCTTGTGTTGAGTCACGCACCGTGTTCTGTTGGAATTCTGGTCGATCGCGGTCTGGGAGGAACAAGCCAGGTTCAAGCTAGTGATGTTTCTTTCAATGTTGTTGTAGTATTCTTCGGAGGACCCGACGATAACGAAGCGCTTGCTTACGGTATGAGAATAGCAGAACATCCAGGTATTGTGCTAACTGTTGTTAAATTTGTGTCTCCACCTGGAACGACATTATCATTCGGCGCTAAGTTAGTCGGTGTTGCATCGGATAAGAGCAGAACAGTAGTGATTAATGATAGTGAAGGTAGCAGTAACCATGATGGCAATAAAAACCAAGATGAACAACCTTGGAGTGAGTTTCTTAATGCAAGAAGCAACAATGAAGAATCAATTAAGTATGAAGAAAAGCTGGTTGAAAGTAAAAGTGATATTGAGGCAGCATTGAAGGAATTAAGTAGAAGCAATTTGATATTGGTTGGTAGAATGCCACCAGTTGCACCTTTGGTTAGTACTAGTGATTGTCCTGAGCTTGGTCCTGTTGGAAGCTATTTGAGTTCTTCTAGTTTCTCCAATTCTGCATCAGTATTGGTTATTCAACAATACAATCCTTCAACTGATATTCATCCTTTGGTTATGGAGGAATTTGATTGTCCTGAAGTGCCAGACACACCAAGGAGTTAGTTTATGATTAATGTTCATGTTGTTATCAGATTATGGGTTACAAAAAAGCAAATAAAATTGAGAATTTCAGCTAAAGGTTTATATGTAGTTGATCATGTAACTTAAGTATCCCATAGAATAAAGATGAAATGTGACTTTGGAAGTTTTGTCCATATTATTTGTAACTGTTTTTTATTGGAAGCATTTTAAGTTGTTCAATATTAGCCTTCTGGTCATTGAAAATGAATGCAGCATTAAGCGCATATAGGTTTGCGTACAAAGCTTATATTGGATTGTCTCTTTTTCGGATGATTTATGAAAAGCTTGTCATCAGTGAAATTGGATTACAGAGCTTTTGAATTTTGAAAATTTTAAATTTGGATCTAAAGGTAGCCGGTGAAAAAAACAAGTTGAGATGGAAGTAATGAGGTTGAATACCTAACAGTTCTCTAAAAAAATTTAAAAACAAATGGTTAAAGTGTATCACAATCTTAAAATTTTGAAAAGATAGTTTGTATTAGTGAACTAAATATGGTTTGAAGAATAAGAATATCAATTTGTAGAGTTTTGATTATAACAATGTAATTAAGAATAATTGATATTCTATTGTGTTTGGTTTTATGTGTAAAATAATTTGCAATTAACTACATAAAAAGAGTCATGTCATCTGCAATAAGACAGACTAAATGATCATTTGCATCAAAGTCAACATGATTGAGCAAAGGATCATCTGCAATAAGATTGAGGAAATAAGCTTCTTGGACACTGATGATCATATTTACCTTGAAGATCATATGATCATCCGTGTCTAAGAAGACATGATCATTTGTAAAAATAATAAGGATCAATACAAGAAATGAATGGATAAAGATTTGTATAGATAGTATAATTCCAATAGTTTTATTTCCAACGAACAAATAATTAACAACAAATTCAAATGTTGAAGGTTTCTAATCCACGACTAACAAGTTGTATTATTTTTAGTCATTACAACAATTTGAATATTTTACAAGCTTTGCAAATTATTGTCATATTAACAAAGAGAAAACACAAGTTCTGGTTATTCGATACTCTTTTTTAGGAAAGTTAAACATGTGTAACTGATCTCACGTGATCAGAAAGGAATCAGTAGTCTGCCACGTGTTGTGAGCTGTTGTCTTCACTGGTGTTATAGAGGAGGAGTGGGGTGTACCTGCAAGATGCTCTGATGCTTAAGTGAGTCGCGAAACTAGAGAGAGCAAGTACAGAGAAAATGTGTAGTGAATAAGATACCTGACCCTCTAGTGAAAGAGGGTATTTATAATGTGTCCCCAGCGCAGGGCCAACGATTACATTGCATTGGGTCAGATTGTCAAGCCCAACAAAAGTAACTGTCAGGACTTACGTGGCGTAGGGAAGACCAGCATGTGGTTTTCGCCCTAGATCAACTGCTCCATGATCTTCGGAAGGTGGGCTGACCATCTCTTACGAATGTGAGCAGTTGCCTGATAATGTGACCTCGCCTGGGGGTCACGTGGAATCTGTGAGGAAAGCGCGTGAGCTCTTCCCGTGCAAGATAATGCTTTGCCCTACTAATGTGCCTTGTTGAGACTTGTGACCGACAGAAAGGATTGGGCCTTGTTGAACCTCATCAGTATAGTATTGGGTTGGGTCTGCCCGGCTGAGGGGCAGGTCTCGATCAAGTCCAGAATAGGAGTCCCCCAAGTCGTTGCTCATGTGTGGAGGAGTAATGACTTAAGGGCAGGTCGAAATGTCGAGGACCTCTTTGGGAGATGGTATTTTTCCTGCCGCATAGAATTGGGAGTCGTGTACCAGGTCTGGAGCAGAGGATGCTCGACGGGACAGCATGTCGGGGAGGTGGACGGCGAGCGGATGTGCTCGATCTCAGAGTCCGGGAGGGAGACGAATGGGTGTAAAGCTTCTAATATTGCCATGTGTCAGGCAATCATTGTTTAGCTAGGGCAGCTAGGGGTAGGGGCGTTTGAGTGTCTAGGGGCGCCTCGAGTCCCGTGTTAGGATTATAAATAGGACTGAGTCCGCTTCAGTCTCACTTTTCGCTTCTACCATTCAAGATGCTTCTTCTTCTTCTCGTAGCGCTTCTCAAACTTCTGTTTAACACCCCAAATTTATTGTAATATTTATTTAATTGATTTAAATATGAATATTCGTATTTTTGGTGATTTTTGGTGGTTGGTGTGTGACCGGTAAATTAGCAAGTGTACTAATTATTCTGATGTAGTAATAATAAGGGTTTTTCCCAGGACCGATCTCTAAGGACTGCGTGTAAATTTTAAGTACAAATGTTCTTTCAATCAAACAAAATAACCTTGGGTTTTGTTTGGGGTTTTCAAAAGGAAAAAGCAGAATGATAAAATTATTTTAACAATTAAGAGAAAACATGTTAAGGGAAGTGTATGAATTGCGTATAACGAACCTTGGAGTAAACCGATAAGACTTCTCACAAGACCTTAATTTTTATTGCACCTCAAAAGTGTTTTTCTTAAATTCCTTAACTGAAAAACTTTTGATATTCTTCCTTGACCCTAATTCCTTAGCATTCAAGGAAAGACATCAAGCAATAGTTCTGACAAAGGATTTTTACAATCATTACAGGATATCCCTAATCGTAAATCGTTCCCAATTTATACGATCTTTAAAAGTTTAAACGAATTGCATAAAAAAATATTAAGGAATGAAACAAAATCTCATTAAGAAATGCAATAAAGGTTCATTACAACACAATTCAGGGACACTCCCCTAGCAATGAGGTGTTTAGCTATTCATAGTATTCGATAAAAACAACATGACAAATAGAAACATTACAAGATTTAGGGAGTAAATTCGATCTTCAATTTCTTCCGAGCATGAAAATCTCCTTGTCCTCCCAATTCTCCAGAGCTTCAATCTTCCGTTGTATTTTCTTCGTACCAATCAAAAGTCCCCTCTCTTTTGTCAAAGCACGTATCAAATAGTCTCAATTCAAACTCAGTACCAGGGAAAAGCCCAAAATACCCTCGGGGATCACAAGTGTTAAAAATACAAGAAAAATAGGGAATGAGGCGTTTTAACCAACACGGGCCGTGTTGGCTTTCTCATATCATTTACGCGTGATTTTTCCAAGTCCCAAGTGTTCTGACACGGGCCGTGTCACGTGACATGGGCGGTCGTGTCTGTCGCTACTGCGAAAATCGGCGCCGGCTGACAGAAGAGTCGCCACCGTGCGTTATTTATCCCAACAGAGGGAAAGGAAACGCTCGAAGTAAACCTCGCAAAAAACGGGAAAAGGTATAGTCATCGCAACCAAAACCTGGATTCGGGAGTCGGTTACGCAAGGGGAAGGTATTAGCACCCCTCACGTCCGTCGTACTCGACGGGATCCACGCTTGCTTGGTTTGTCTAAAGGATGCAAACAATCTATCTACGACTGCTAAATCTAAACAGAAGGGAATTGACTCGATAAAGCGTCGCACTCTATGCCTACGTATTCTCAAGAGAGAAAGTCAGAGTCAACGTAGTTCGGGACTACGGGGAAATTGGCTCGCCAAGACCTCGCGTCTTGTGCCTACGTACTTCCACACTGCATGGAAGATCAGAGCTTACGTAGTTCAGGCTAACTACGGCTAAACAGGGTGTTCTCACACAGCAGTGAGAAATCAAACTGGTTTTACAGGTTCGGGAACCTACGGGAAAAAACTACGGTCTGGTCTCAAATGCACTCGGGCAAGAGAAAAGGGTAACATCAGTCGTCAGCGGGAAAGTCTCGATCGCACAGCAGCGAGAGAACAGAAAGTCAGTTGTTAGTGTGCTCGCTAGGATATCGCATCCTATGCCTACATATTCTCGTCTGGTACGAGAAATCAGAGCAGCTGTAGTTCGGCTACTTTCGGGACCACAGCTCAAATCTCGTTTTATTAACATTCTGAAAAATGGTTACAATGGTTGCATACTGAAAATAAACTCCTAAAAACTATCCACTATCCTATTCATCAAATGGAAAATAGTCCCCTAACAAGTGGACTTCAAGAAAACTACCTCTAAAAGGTAAAAAGTCTCTATGAAAAATGTACTCTAAAAAATATTAAATCTATAATAATATTTTTTACTATTTTTTCCAAGTATCTTTCTTTTTCAAAATATTTCTATTTTCTCTCCAAATATTTTTCCCATATTTTTTCTATATTTTTTTCATATTCTTTTTTCTATTTTTTTCAATATTCTTTTTTTCTATTTTTTTCAATATTCTTTTTTTCTATTTTTTTTTAATATTCTTTTTTCTATTTTTTTCAATATTCTTTTCTTGAATATTTTCTTCTTTTCAAATTCTTTTTCTTTCTCTATTTAAAATCTCTAAACAAAAGAAATAATAAAAAAATGAAAAATACAAAGGGGGGGGGGGGGGGGGTACAACCTGTTACAGGGGGTATGCTAGCGGTAGAAAAAACACAAAATAAGGGCCCAGCCCATTAACTAGCCTCAGCCAGAAAAAAAAAAGGGGAGGGGTATGATGCTGAAACGGAGGGTGTAGCCCAGAAAGCAAGTTGGGCTCAGGCCCACTTCACCAAAGTGACACACAGCAGAGGGGGGAAAGCAAGAAGCGGAGGGTGTATGTAGGAAACTCCAATGGGCCTCGGAGCCCAATCCATGGCCACGTATCTTCTTTCATCACTCAGACTAATCAAAACCCTAAATGCCTCTTCTCTCTCAGTTCACTGTTCACCGCCGCTACCCCTCTCAACTTCACTCCCTCTCCGATTCTCCTGCTCACAAGCCTCTCACTCTCAACCTAACACCTCAATCTCAACTCGTTTTTCCTTCTTCATTTCCCTTACAAACACTCGTCTCACTCTTACAAAAAAACGATGAATGAAATCAAGACGAACACCAACTTGGAAATACGATGAGGCTTGCATGGTGCTGAAGACTCACTTTGTGAATGAGGATTTGAAGAACGCAGCGAGTTCCTGAAGAGGATGAAGTTTACGTTTGAAGCTGTTAAGGAGGATCTTGAAGGATCTACCGAG